ATGGTAACCATTCTACTTTTCTGGAGAGAAAAGTGAAAAGATAAATTTGTGATCCCCAATGTTTAAAACCACCTGTTGAGGATAAAATAAGGGGTGATAAATTATATGTATCAGGGTCAATAAATTAAGGATATTGATAAGGGAGTACAATTTTACTATTACAGTGTATGTTATAAATATATGGATACTATATAATGTTAATTGCATAGTTTATATTGATCTAGAAGGGGTGGCAAAAGATTTGAAAAACATTGAGACTAATTAACCTATTAAACTTCTGAATTAAAGAGTTTTCTTTTGGGACATAAATTGGTTTGCCTTTCAGGTTGAATAATGGAAGCATGGCTCTTATTGTTGTACAAAATACTTCTCGAACAGAGTTTATAAAACATCTCAAAAGATATGCCAGTGTAAAAAATCAGGTACTGTAAATTTCTTTCTGGGGATTATAAAAAGAACAGTTAATCGTGAAGATAGACATGCTGCAAGAGTTAATGTAAGCATCCTCATAAGGAGACTTAGCTTCCTGTCAGAATACATTAGCCCCCTTTTTATCTGTGTGGGTTTTTTGTTGGATTTTTTTCTTTTTAAATCACTGGACTAATACCGATTAGCCTATTTCAGCCCATCTGTTGTGGTTTAAATTGTATTTATGTTGTACCATAGTTTTATGGGTGTAAAGCCCTTTCACCAGAATAAAGGAAATGTATGCTGTATTTAAGTTTTGTATAGTACAGAGATCAAGGATGCAGACTGGGGGAGGCATCATGCAACTCTTTGTCAGAAACAGGTAAAGGTCATAATTTCAGTAGATAACTACATGCTATGCTGGTAGCAGTGGATTAAGACCATTTTTAGCAGTAAGCATTCCATTCAGTTATGAATGTTGACATAAACTGCATTTCACTATTCTGTCTATGAAGAGAAAAAGGAAGCATCCAAACACAGTATCTTATTGATGTCCTTAAGACCTGGTGTATAGCCTTAGCACACTGGTACTTGTTCAGATGTTTCAGGATTATTCCCTTTTACAAGCTGGAGTTAAGTGTTTCCATGTACTCGAGAGACAAAAAACTAAGGTTTATGTTTGAATTCATCAACAGACACAGTTTGGGGGAGAGGTGGATGGCAATTTCGTGTGACAGCACTAATAGCTGCATTTAGGAAACAGTTTATGCTTTCTGGTTATGCTTTTGGAGGAAGAATTTCCTTTTTTTCTCTGCCTTTTGTAATTAGAAATTAGCTAAGGAGATGTGGACCCTCATTTAAACGGAAGATGACCATTTACTAGAATTCTAACTAGCCTTGTTTAAGACAGGAATACGGGTAATGAAGAACAGAACACAGGAAAAGATCCACTTCGGCTTTTCATATCTTCTGAAAGCGTGTGCTATTTTACTATGTGCAAAATGTACCACCTCACCTACAGATTGAGAAAGTCCGATATAGGAATGCAAATGGAACACTACCATTTTTTTCTGAGGCGTTATTTAGGGTAAAAATAGCATGTTAATCTGTAAATGCTAGCTGAAATACATAATGCCTCATGTGGTCAAAGCTGGAGTTAAGCATTTCCATTTACTTAAGTCCAAAAAGAAGAAAAGGCAAGCTTTCTAATTTCAAGTAATCCAGTTTGTTGCTAAGATACTACCTGTATCTTTCATCTTCATTTAATATGTGTCTGTGTTTGGTTTAGTTCAATTTTCCCTTTGTTGAGACCTACACAGTTCAAGAAGTAAAAGTACAACCGCAGGTTAAAAGTGGCCTTGATGCCAAAGAAAATACGTATTTGAATGCTGCTTCTGCAGAAGGAAACTACCCTTGGAATATAGATGGGGACTTAATGAAAGAGGCATCACAAATTCATGTTCGGTAAGGCTAATTATTATGTTTATGGACTGTATACATGTAACAGATTAGTACTGCAATCTTGTATATAGATGTTTTACGTCTGTATATAATAAGGATGACACTAAAATTAGTTGGTGCAAATTCTGTTAAGAGTAGTACTGTTGTGCACTGCAGTGTCCCTTTTGCCATTGTTTTGGCCTCTGCCCTGTTGTCTCATGCCTGTTTTTGGAAAGGTTTATTAGAACCCACCAGGCCTCTCCTTTCTGGTGCTTCATTGGCTTCCAGCTCCACTTCTTTTTGCCACTTACTTTATCCTTCTGTTTCTTAGAAAAGAACAGATGGATATAAAGGTCTGTGACTCCTAGAAGGAGGTTACTTTGTGATAAGGATTCCTGCTTGTAAAGCACTGTGTAAGGTTAATAAAAATGTGTCATTGCTCAACTGTGGAAAACTTAGTGCTGCTTGAGAGTAGTCTCCTCTATAGCTAGGATCTAAACCACACACTATGAATACATAGGGAACTAGGACGATTAGCAGTGGAATTAAATGGGTGGTGGCTCATTCTGCTGCAATGCCCATAAGATTATTTGGAGGCACACAGCTCAGAGTTAACAGCCTGGTATGCAAAATAAAAGGCAGATCAAGTTACAGAATATGTAATAAGTACTTCTAAAGATGACCTTATGAGAATTGTCAAAATGCAGTCCACTTGATTGTATTCTATGCAGCAGATCCATACATATTTGTTCTCTGTACCCTTAGCCCCCAAAAGCAGCATTCCCATCACAAGAATTAACGAAATTGATATTTGACTTCCTCACTTCACAGGCTGCATCCTCAACTTATTAATCTCTATGGAGTCAACACTGATGACCTGGAAAGTTCCCAAGCAACGTGCAATTGCATATAGAAGGGACAGACTTCAAGTTCCGCATTAAAGCATCCTTTTCACACTTCTGTACACAGCTTTACAAGGTCCCAGTCACTCACTGAATTCAGTTGCTGTAGCAGAAGATTAACCGGGATGTTTGTAATATTTCTAGTTTTAAATTTTTATCAAGTTATGTATTTTTAACAGGTTGTTTTTATCTACAACAAAACTGTTAACAACAAAAAAAAATGAAAACTGGTTATATTGGTCTATTTTAAAATTTGGGGTTGAGAAGTGGCCGTTATATTTTTTTTTTCCTTTAAAATAATTTTGGATTTTGTAATAAAGTTCATGTGATAAGTCTGCTGCTGCTATCCATGTTGTCAGATAACTCAGTTCAAATAGAGCTGGGGAGTGGATGTATGGTACCAGTTCCTGCTGAAGAACAGTGTCAAAATATAGATTTGTTTATATTTTTAAATTGAGTACTTCCATTTCTACTTAGAATTGTAATGTTGCCTTAATGTATTTGCTTTCAAATAGTTTCTAGTCAAACAGTAATACAAAAGAATATGCTCATATCTTATATGGCTTTTCACTTGTTGAAATATATTTTGAAGAGTACTCATTGTAAAAAATAAATATTTAAAAGTATTTTCTCTTCCCTAGAACCAAAATGATATTCAGCATAGGGTTGGTTTTTTTTTGCTGCTGAGAATAAAGTTATGATAAATAACTTAAGAGTTGCCTTAAATTTTTATAATTTCCTTATATGGCATAAATAATTTTTATGGGGGTTTGTATCTTATTAAATATTTAATACAATTATTTGAGATGCCAGTAACTTCAGATAATACTCTTTCTGGGAACTGGATTTCTGTAAGATGACAGAAAGTAGCATATGAATAAGTAAGTTGGTCTGTCTGTTGGACCAGTGGGATAACAAACATTTCCCTTCTCACTTGTCTACAAATTGTTCAGAAGCCAGGTGACAATGGTATGAAAGCTGCATTGTCTTGGGCCAAGAATGAGTTGCTTTAAGTTCTTTTTTCAGTCAGCGGTCAACTATAATGTGAAATCCAGTCCTTTAAGATTCTCTTAAATCAAGGGACTAAGCCTTTACCTGGGAGCTATAGCTATTTTATTTGATTTCAAATACTACTTGTGAAAAATTCTTACCTCTGACAGATATGTAAGAAAGACAAAGTGATGCACCTAAAGTACTGCAGATGACTGTGCCTCCCAAGAGCAAGCTGTTACTTGTTGGAAATCTTATGCTGTTTCTGTGGACAAACCTGGCCAATAGTAAGAGCCAAATTCATAGACAATCAAATGCTTACTTCATAAGTAATTAATTACAGGATTCTTATACCTAGTTCTCCTCTTTGCACGGAAGTTAGCAGCTCCAGAATAGGATCACAGCATCCTTTTGGGCTTGACCTGGCAGGTCCAGCACTGAGATCAGATCTGGTTACAGAGCTTCATCACGTCTGGCAATAAAACCTCCAAGGATGGAGATGACAATGACTGCTCCCCTGTTCTGATGCTTGTCTGTCCTTGGGAGGAAAGTGGGTTTCCTCATGTCCAGTTGGAACCCCTCATTTCAGTTTACACCAGTTGTCTGAGTCGCAGTGAGTACTCGCTAGTTAAACTACTATAATTAATGCTATAGTACACTGAGTATTTTTAACATTAAGGTAATTAAAACTGAACTTCCCAAAGTTGCCCAAGAAAGAGATTCCAGCTACTTGTAGTAATTTAACTGTTATTACATAACTGAAAATCAATAAAATAACTGAAATTCCAGAAGAAACAGCATTCATGTGGTTAACTTGAGTTCTTTATAATAAAAAAACTGAGTGGGTTTTTTATAATCTTGCTACTATTAGAACATTGTACATTCATTTTTTTGTCAGCCTGGTTTGTAAAAGCTAACTGAAATTTGCTTCCTATCCTTAGAACAGGCAGCCAACATTTTATTATTAACATGTAAATCTGAATAGGAAGTATATAATTTCCAAGGCAACATTATCACATGTACTGGCATATCTTTGAAATAGTTCACATAAATAAAATGCTTTAGTTTCACTTCTTTGCTTTGTTTACATTAAAAAGAATGTTAATGCTTCTTCCAGTACTTGAGGTATAGTTTTCACAATATGCTATAATATCAAACTAATTTCTGTTCAGCGATACTTTGGTTAAAGTGCAAAAATTCACCAAAGCCATTTGGAAGATAGGCATTTTCCGTGTATTTTCATAGACTTGCAAGAAAACATTTAATTCTTCACATACTTTATTTTGATTTTTGTAAAAAATATATGCACATTCATTTGTCCTTACACTGCAGAAGATTAAAAAAATTACTTTAGAGATCCACGTCTTTGGCATCAAATGAAGTGAAAGGAAATTACAAAATGGTCCCCAATACCTTTAGAATCTGTGGATATTGGCTTTTATGGCACCAAACACCCTATTAGCAGAAGTGCTTGTTAAAGGCACTCTGTATTGCTTTTGAGTCTCAGGCTAAGTCCTGTATGATGGTGCAGCTTCAAAGTGTATGTACATACTACATTCAATTTTCCTTGCAGTTCAGAAAGACATCAAAGGCATCCCAAGAAAGGCGCTGTTGCATCCGGCTGCTGCAATAGATTCAGTTATTGAAGAAGTTCTGCAGCTGTACTGGGGAGCAAAGTAACATTTTTTCTTTTCCCCTGGATTGTACTATTTCACCAAAGCTAGGTGGCAGTGCAAACTTATCTACCTGAAGAAACTTCCTGTAGTAGCAGAGCAGTGCTTTGAACCATGTCATTGAATTCAGTCATTTGCCTTTCTGCTGAGTGACTCCTGAGGATGCCTGTTTGGAAGGTATTTATCTGACAACATCACAGGAACCCAAGGTAGCTCTCCAAACAGCTTCTTTATTAAGTAATTTCAGCTGGCACATCTGAAGATAAAATTTGGCCCAGCAAGGTTGGCCTTTGGAGTACTTTTGGTATGTGGTTCTGTTCTGTCATCATGTGAGCGTGACTTTTTTTCTCCCAGGTCCCAGAAGAATGCCAATACTAAATACTACTATGCTAAGTACTATAGAAAAATCTTCAAATAAATAGAAATAAATACTTGCTTTAAAAAAACCCACATAGAAATATTTCATTGGAGAAGTCCAAAACATCATGGCAGCAATACCTGAGGAAAAGACAGAACAAGTAATTCTGTCATGCTTGCAAGTACCACGTGAATGATGGCTACAAATTACAATCTCCAATACAAATCTCTTTCCAACACTGAGAGAGGATTCTGTGCTGCATCTCCAGGCTACCCCACAGAATTCCCTGCTCTAGACTGCCTTTGACCTTCCTGGTTCTGCCTTGCCTGGGTGTCTAAGTCTCTGCAGTGTTATGGCTGTGCCTGTGAAGCCAAAAAGCTTATGAGGTTCCCTTCAGACAGCTTCCAATAGCTGTTTCCTACATTCTTGTGCTCTGCTTGCAGTCCTCCTATTGTTTTAAGCTAATTTACCCTTGTAAAATTGCCAAAGCAAGATACAGGAGGATTTCTTTTTGAATGGCTAATTAAAAAAAATATTAAGACTTGAAAATTAATAGAATAAGTTGTGCTGATATGTCTGAGATCTTATTTTCCAGGACTCGCAAAATGTGATTACCTTCTAGAAATTATTCTTTCTGGTAAGTAATTCTTCTCCTCTTTATCTTTAGTGTTGTCTGTTTGAAACCAGATAGATATATGGCATTTCAAATATTACTCTAAGACTTCAAAACAAATTGGTTTAACATTTTCATATTAGAAAAGCAAGAGTGCTCTAAGGTATAGTCCTCCGTAGAGTTCAAGGAAACAAAATGCATTTTGTAAGAGCAAGTGAGCTCAAGACCAATTTCTTGTTTCTGATGTTTCTCCTGCAAATTAACTTGAATCTGAAAGTCTTCATTTTAAAATCAAACATTTATTTGCCATCTTAGCCATCTTTGTTCCCACTTGTGAAACTCCAGCTGTCTCTTCTGTTATTGTCTTGAGGGACTTGTTTGTATTGCCTTTTGAAAAAGCCAATCTGAAATACAAAATTTTGGGAACTGTTGTCAGCAAATCTGAGTTATCAAATCTAAACCATAAAAGAACTAAAATAAAATGCATATATATGGTATTTGCCCTTGCTTTGTTGTAACAAGTAATCAAGTGATAGTCTTCAATCAAGAAGTGGGTTTGCTTTTTCTTTTACTTTTTGGGAGGCTAATACTCTCCTGCAAGGAGGAAGGACGTGTGGGCTTGTGTCCTATAACAGTCCACAGAATCCAGTACTATTTTAAATGTGAAATGGTGATAAAACTTCCCTGTTAAATTTGTTTCACTTTTATACTTCCCTGGGAAAAAGGATGGATGGAGGAAGTCTGTGGATAGTTAGAGAAGTTAACAATTTCTTAACTCGCTTTTTAGCATTTATGTTGCAGTTTAAAATTTTCAGCTTTTTATTCTGGCGTGAAACAGTGTTGTAGACTATTACTCATCACGTGTCAAGTGGCTTTCAGTGTGGAGCACCATCCCACAGAAATGATCCACTTGATATCATTAAATGATATAAATCAGTTGCAAACATGAGATGCCATACAAATTACAGGACAGGGTTTGCGTGGTGTTGGCTACCAGAAGATGCAGAATGCATCTACATAAGATGTAGAAGATACAGGATAATGGAAAAGTATTTTGAAAAAAAACACAAGTTGCAGAAGGAATTATGTTTCTTTAGAAAGGAGAGATAGCAATAAAATATCATTTATCATTTAACCTGTATTAACAGCTCCAAAGATCCACCAACGGTGAATTCCTGACTTGAGAGCAACCGAGAAACACTGAAAACCTACCTTCCATAATATAAATGAAAGAAGCAAAAACAAGGCAACACCAACTATTAAGCCTGTTCCAATTATTAGCACAGTAACACGGTATTTGGGCATTTGGTGATGCACTCCTTCCAAATAGACCTGAAAAGCAGAAAATAAAATCAGTTCTGATATTCCCCCCCCCCCCCGAAAGATACTAAAACAAACTAGGAAAATGAATTACATTCTTAAGTAATCAAGACTATATTCATTGGCTGGGCATAGATTTGTATAGAATTCTACAATTTTATCACAAATCCATGAAAAGAATTTCTTACGTATGCAACTTGCTTGTCCTCATGTAGTTCAATAACTTTTGCATTTTTTTCTGGTGAGGCTGTTGCTCTTACTTCAAGCTTCAATGCTGATGCATCATCCTAATTAAAAAAAAAAAAAAATCCTGTTTTTTAAAAAATAACTTCAACACATTAATTCCTGCCCAGTAAAAATGGTAACACAGCTGCTCACAGAAACAGAATCTCACACAAACACACAGTGGTGCTTTTTTCTGATCACAAAACAAATTAGTACCAGAAACTGGAACAAAGCCCAGTTGGATTTTACTTAAACCCACATCTATGCTGCTTTTCTTAGAAAAGTACAATTATGGGTTGAAGTTAAATCCCAATCCTACACAACCCAGCCAGAATGGACAAAGTAATACATACTAAATAATAAAGCGATAATCTAAAATACATATTTTTCAGTGGTTTTCATTTTTCATATATCACCTTGGGGCTTAACATGGAAAAAAGAATAGGTTTGGATTTGGATTTAATCATACTGTTTACAAAAATATATTAATACCTAGAATTTATATACAGAGAACACTGCAAATAAACCTTGAAATATTCTCCTTAAGTATGAGACATTACCATTTCTAAAAGTGAAGGAGTTGCCTCTAGATGCAACTGAATGGTTGCTTCTTTTCCACTTTCCATGTTTCCAAGCTTGCAATATATTTGTAAGCAAAAGTTGTCATTTTTCATGCAGTACTGTAGAAGGGAGGGAAGAGTAAAGCTTCAGTTTATCAGCATTTGTCATCTTGGTATTAAAGGCACTTAGGAACTGTGTAAAACAACCTCCCCCCCCCCGTTTGTTCCTGAAAAGTCAGGGTGGTCATCATTCACCGCTGGCAATCCACAAGTGTTAAAGGAACAGTACAAGGGACCAACTTAATTGTTACTGAGCAATTTCATTTTTCTTAAAAATGCAAAACTTTTTAGACTGAAAAAGAACAACTGTCACAATTTGGTTATATGCAGGATTTTTTTACCCTGTTATGTCAAATTAGCTTTTATCAAGAATAATAAATGACAGTGTCTATATTATATCCAGTATAAATAGTGCAACTGATTGTACACTGACAGCTAGCAGCATTTCTCTCATGCTTGGATTAGACAAAAAAAGCAAGCCTGTACATGAGTATATTCCTTGTCCAAGACTGCACTGCCTGAGTTCCGATTTGATATTCTAGTGCAGGTTGTCTCAAACATTGGTTGATGTTCCTTGTACTGTGCTTACTTGAAGTCCCTAATTAACATTTTAAAGTGTCCAGCTTCTTTCTAAGATGAAAATGTTAAACAAAACTGTACTTCATCAAATACAGATTGCAGGACACAGATGTCTATGAGAACTAACCCTCAAAATACAACACTAGAACAGCATTTCTGGTTTGGACTACTACATAGTCAAGTCTCAAATATCCAGCAGGGTCTGTAAGTAGGTATACAGAAGGATGAGCGTGGACAGGGCAGACATGTACAATATTCTTCCAGCCTCCCAAATAGTTTTATTAAGAACGTCATGAGCCAATAAATATTTCCTTATATTTTTAAATTTTTAATGACTTTCAGTTCCATTCACTTGTATAGCCTTCCTTGGAATTCACTTATTAGCATTCACAGCACCCTTCTGTAAAAAGTTCCACCATAAGTCCTACTTTTGCCTTTTTTTTTTTTCTTTATGTTTTTAAATAACTTGGCTCCCATTTTTGACAGTTGATGGCACAATTTTGGTGTGAAGAAACCAATGAATATTTGATCTGCATACTTCATGTAATTAAAATTATGACTCTTCCCCCCCCCCCCATGCATAATTTTTGATTTGAATTTCATCTGCCATTCTGTTTGCCCACTCATTCTGTTGCATAAGCCTTTGGAAGTTCTTTGTAGGTGACTGTCATCTAAACTGACTTCAGTGATGTGTCATTAATCAACTCTCTCATCCGAGCTCTCACCTCTTTCACTGAAGTTACTTATGACTATGCTGAGTGTATCACAGGTCCCACCACAAATCCTTGGAAGAGATACTGTTGTCTTAAGGCTCATTCATGCAGTCATTTACTTCCCACTGATGCTAAGAGAGAGAACTTACCATTTGTCTCTTAGCAGACTTTGAAAAGAATGTGACAACATCCTTTAATATGTTTTCATTTTTTTCTGCCACACTACAGTTTCTGGAATATTTATTATAGGAGCACTCTCCAACTGTTGTCTGGAAACAAAAACATCATCATCATTGTTAGAATTTAAACATCAGCTACTAAGCAGAATACAGATTTCTGAAAGGCCAGAAGCTCAAAAGGAATGTAAATTCTACCTTCAGAACTATAAAATACATGGGGCTGAAGAATATCCTGTTCACTCTGCTTCACTATAGCTAAGAACCTGAGCCTGTATTAGTACCTAGTTCTGCTGTGCTGTTTCTCTTTTTCATAGAATTGATATGGCTAATAAAATTATATCAAGTAACCTGTGCTTACCTTGATATCCAATGTGTTGAATAATCTGAAGTTATTGGGTGGAAAAGCATTAGGTATCATTATTTCTAAGGCTGTATTTGGAGCCATGCTTGGTCCTGCACTGATAACCTTGAGGGGAAGAAAGTTATAAGGAGTGTAAGTACATAAAACCTAACAGAATGGGGTAGCACTTGAATTGCTGTGCTGTCATGAAAGTGGATTCTGGTAGGAGTTGTAACATTTTGCTTTACTCATTGTGTAGGTGTCCTGAACTCCTCACTCCTCTGCACCCAATGAGCAAGCAGTGCTAATCTGCGATGCTACTTTGAGGTCATACAGACCACCTTCCAGAATATGCAACAGGAACTAGGAGAGATTAATGTCTAACTCCTCCTTTTAAGCCACTGGAGACAAATCTGATACCTTACAGATCCTCTTATAAGGAGCTCCTAGTTCCTTTTTCTTACCATAAGTTAATTATTTTTAAGTATTAAGTAATGAAAGAATTGGCAAGTCAGAACTGCTCTAGCTCTTTCAGACCTGCTTCTGCTAAGCATTTTTATTCTGACCACTCAGTGGAAGATTATCCAGACCAGAAAAAGCATTTAAAGAGGGACTAACAGCTACTTCTCATCACTGATGCACAGAAGTTGCTCACCATTCCCTTGTACTCTTCACCACTTCCCTTAGTGACTGTGCAGATTGTCTTTAGATACACTGGAAATCTAAGTTTTAACCTTCAAAACAAGGATAATAGGGTTGACAAGGGAGAACTCTTACATGGAAAGTGAAGTTGATACTCTCCTTCATACACGTAAGTGGGGAATCTTTCTCATTTGTTCCATAAACAAACGAAGCCGGTGATACGAATCTACAATAGTTTAGAAGTTTTTAATTAATATAATTGCTAAAAATCATTAGCTTAACTTTCTGCTCCGTGGTATGTCCAATAAGATAGGTTCTAAGGAAATACACAAGTTTGCATGTAAGTAAATCTAGGAACACTAAGTAGAAGTCCTCTATCTTTGTGCTTTTTCCTCTTTAAAGGACAAAAGAAAAATAATTCAGAAGTAGTCATAAATCCTCTTCCAAATCTATACCACACAACACACCCAGAATATGGTCTGAGGATCTGCTGTGCTGTTATTAAATACCTTTCAATAGAAAAAAAAAGTTCCAATTCTTAAAAAAATATTAGTCTGTTAAGAGACAAGATCAAAGCACCACAGATATCACTGGTGTCATCTCACCGTACTGGAAAGAAGATGCTAGAAGTGTATGGGTCAGACCCCAGGATAGCTGTGCCAGTTTATTAACCAGGAATTTTCAGCTGTACCACACTTCTGCTTAAAAGCTTTGTACAAGGTACCAAGGCAACAGTTCTACAGATATGCAGGTATAGCAAGAGCTGACTTACCCATGAGCATTTAACTCGGTCTCATATTTTAGAGGTACAGCTAAAGTTAGCGTGTTATCCAGCAACATGCTCCCATCTTCATTTTTACTATAAAAACGGAGAGAAAAATGAGTGTAACAAATGCAGCATCAAACGCTACACATTACTTCTATAAACAAATATTAAACAGACTCCCAGCTTTTTAAAACAAAAATATTTTTTTAAAAGTAAAATTCTATACAGGCAGAAACCAGCTCATTACTTAAATATCTATTATCTGGGTTTTTTTGTGATTTTTCTTTCTCTACAAATTTGCAACCCCTGTGCTTTCTTGCATTTGTGCTTTGTTAAGTCTTTCCAGTGTTCCCTCCTCTGTTTTCCAAAGCTAGTACTATTTTTCATTAAGCATTTTTCATTGGACTTTACCAGGTAGCATTAATGATGATGTTGAGGTCTTCTTCTGCTCTGGTAAATGAGCTTGCATCCAAGAGAAAACTAAAATCCAGCTGTAGAACAAATAAAATTTTCTTTATATCGCATTATAGTGTGCTTTAACAGAGTTTAAATAAAAACATCTTATTGAACTCATTTAGAATTTCCTGCTGTAAAAAACACTCAGAACTAAGAAAATACTTGCTTTGCGAGTCTTCTACTCCTTTCTATTGACCTAACACATCTGTTCACAGCCTTAGTCAGCTCACTTATCTAGTAAGCCAAGTACGATCGGTTGATGCATAATGCAAACGATGTTGTCCCGTAATGAATTGCTCCAGAAAGTGTTTAGGCACCTGATTTTAAAAGTAGCAGAGAGGTTCCAACACCAGCGTAATAAAAGACATTAGTAGGAATGAAGGAGAGATTCTGAGAAATAAAGGTTTTTTCCCCTCCCTGAAAAGCCTCGTAACATATTCAGGGTTTCTTTAAAGCTGGAACTTCATACATAGCCATACATAGCTTACCTTTGATTTCTGATCTACATATAAACAACCAACGCTGCACTCAAGTTTCACTGCATGAATTTCTTTATCTAATACATCACAATGTATCTGTTTTTCTTCCTAAAACAAAGGACAAGTTATTAATGATTAACACCTTTCCCCCCACCCCCCCACATTTCACAATACATGCACATGCTGAAATTGGGTGGTTTATATTTCCTTGAACTAGGCGTTTGTTATTTCACTGATGCAGATATACACAGCATTTGTATTATTCATTACTGCTTTAATGTATCCTTGTTTTTATTATTGTATCCTGTTACTTCATCTTCTGTTTGCTAATAGTGAAGCTAAGGCATATGCATCACACCCAGACCCACTCAAGTTTAAAGCCAACCTCTAAAAGGTGTTGGGGGGATTCTACACAGAGAGCAGTTATTTTAAAAAGGCAGAAAGAGAGAACAATTAGATTTGTTATTTCTTCATAAGACTGTAACTGTGAAAAATGGCAGATTCAGAGATCTTTGTGATCACTGAAAGCATGATCATCACACAAGAAGTACCCACAACATAGAATCATAGAATGGTTAGGGTTGGAAAGGACCTTACAATACTGAAATACTTTTAGAAACCTTTTTTTTTTATCCTTACTGTTAGTTGTTACTATCACATCTTGTTATTGAAATGATTTAAGTCACCTGTATTGATTAAGTTGCACATGGTTTAGGTAGCTATAAATCTCAGAAATTAAAAACTGGAGTTTTGTCAGTTTTTTCTGGGGAGGAGGAAATGTGTGTAGGCTGTCAGTATCTAAAGAAACTCAACAATCCATTAACATAATTTGAAAAATGTCTGGCTGAAAAGGGAAAATCTCAAAGGACTCCTGTTTGACAAATTCTTTTGTTCTTACCAATTCTAAAATTCGGATGAAATAAAGACCTTTAGGGATTTGAATGTGGAGAACAGTTTCATACGCATCATCTCCAGCATTGAGCAGAGAAATGTTCAACAACAAAGTCTTCATACTTCCAACAGCAAGATATGTTTTCTTATCATGAGGCCTATAAAAAAGTTTAATTATAATGTAAGTGAAAAGTATTTCTATATACAGCCTGCATGCAAAAATTTCCCTCCACTGCTCTTTCAGTTAATTTCATTTGGTTCTGACAAGTTCAGCTGGAGACCACTGGGAAAGCTTTTACTCAGTCTTGTAACTGAAGGTACTACACCAGTTATGCCAGTCAATTTCAGCATTGTCCTTTTTAAGGCTTGAGGTTATTATTAATGCAAGAGCAAGAAAACTGCTGTCAGACCAGTTGTGCTTCTGGCTTTTACAAGATGGGTCCTTTCCTTCACAGCCAAGAACAACAATTTGCTACTGCTAGTTTTTTCAAACATTATTTTCAAATTCACCCTTTGTACTCAAAGTATATATTGAAGTACCATGAAGCAGGTCACAAAAATGGCAAATGAACATGCCTATCTTATGATCTATGCAGTATTCTATAATCATGTTACAAGTACAGACAACCTGTGGGGGGCTAAAAGTAAACTTCAGCTTGACATTAAAGTTTAATTAAGACTTGTAGAAAGGCTGCCTAGAAAGAGACATTTATCAGATATTTTGGCTGGAAACCAAAGCATTAGTCTCTAAACACCTTTGGGAAAGAAGCTGGCACTTAGAAAAGCAACAGAAGGTAAAAGCACGACATAAGCAGATAGGTTCCAAGACAAAAGCGAATTAAAGAAAAACACACCGTTAACATTTCAGTTGCTTGATTAGGTTTAGGTTAAATTTTAAAGTTCTTTTACTAGTTACATGCTTACTGTTCAGTCATCTTCTATTCATTAAAGCTAAGCTCATTAACAAGCTGCTGTCACGAAGATGCCTCCCAGCTTAACACACAAGTACACAAAAGCACCAGGTGCACATCTGGGACTACAACAAAGCTGAACTAGAGCTTTTCCCTGGTAATCATATTTCATTCTTCATTAAAAAAATGCATGATGCAGACTGGAAATTTACCAAGCAGGCCAAAATCTAAGAGATTTAAACAAAACATGATAGTGTCTACACGAAGACTCAACTCAGTAAGTAAAGCATTACTTTAACATCCGTATTTGATTTCATTCTTTTAAGACTTAAAGTGTTTGCTTTGCTGTTCAAGGATAATGAATGCATCCTGTCTAGACAAAATAAATTAATGCTTCACAGCTAACTAGTTTTTAATCGAGATTCTAGGGGCCCAATGCAATTTAAGGTGATACTTCACACTTTATCAAGATATTTAGCCTGTTTATTTACACTGAAAATCTGCTGCTGATAACCTAATGCCAAGCAGGTATGTTGTAATCTGTTTTCCTTTCTTAGAGTTTTGAAGTCCTTACACAATTGTATCGCTAATGGCATGAATAGAAATGCTGCCGAGTCTGAGAAGTTTATGACTGCTGAAATAAAATAACCTTCAAGCCCAAGAAAATAAAAGGGCTTCAGACTCATGCTACAGGCTATGCATTAAAGTAGGCAGAAAGATACTACTCTTATTCTGAAATCTGTGTAGATGAAAATGCTTGTGCTTAGGATCACACAGGTGTGATTAATTAGCATTATGGGATTGTCAGCATCTTTTGGTGTCATTTTAGGTTGTTCAGTGTAGTATCTTGATTAAAGTAGAATCAACTTTAAAGGTGATGAGTCACACAAGAAAATCCAGGTCACACACAAAATACCTAGCAAGCTGAGCTTTACAACAGGTACAATTTCTCTTTTTGCATGCAAACAACCCATGTTTCTTGCTTTGAAGGATAATATTCAAAAAAAGAAAAAGGTTGTGATGACAAAATATAACTTAGACAATTAAAATTCATTCTGAATAGAAACGATGGTACATGGCTTAAAACTTTCAAAAGATGGTGCTGAATCTAAGTGTATATACTTGTTAATATTGCTTGGTATAATAGATTCTGCAAGACAATAATAACTGTATTTGAATACTTTGAAAGTGCACTAATTATCTTGTATAATACAGGATTTAAATATGATACCTAATTGGAAAGAATGGGAAAACTGAAACACATTGAAGGGTATGTCAAAAAAATTAGGGGTGTTAATGAGAAAAAAAAAAGATCACAAAACAAAATTAATTTAGGAAAACGAAATCTAATTCATGTAGGGAAAGGAAGTCTGAACCTCACATAATACTCAACCATCTGGTGTCTCAATCAGCAGTATAAAACCAAAAAGATGAATAAGGAAAAAGAGCCACTTAATTAATTGGTAATTGAAATAATAAATATAGTCATGTCTTAGTATAAAACCAAAGTATCTTATTTCTACAGTGCAAGTACAATGTCTTCATAAGAGCAGCTGAAATAATTGACAGCTTATCAATTTAACCATAGCTATGATGTCTACATATTGAGTACGTATTGTGCCCTGTATCTTAGCCCAGTTATATACAAAGTGTAGAATACAAGTTTGCCTTTTTGTGAAGATATATTTTATGAGCTTTAAGGTATTCTAATTATGCAAGACAGTTCTTCAATTTTACACATTTCTGTTGCATTTCCTGGAAGATTTACAATTTTAAAATATTCTTCAACTAAACACAGCTTCATTCCTCATATCCATAGTCTACTTCTGCAAATTAAAGTTTTTAAACACACAAAGGATTAAGAAATAATTTAGATAAAATTTTACTGAACCTCTTTCAAAAGAGAATAATGAGAGCCACATTATACTTACTTTGGAAAAGCAATTTTCCCAGAAACTCTCAAGTCAGCAGAACAATTTTCTTGGGAGCAAAATCTTGCAAAAACAAACTATAAAAGACAAACAAAAAGGGGCACTTTAGTGTGTTATACATATTATAGTGACTAAAAGTATTTCCAAAGAAACCTATCAGCTGTTACCCAGTACATGGAACTGGCTAATAGCTCTTGCTCCTAAAACCAATTCAATCAGGCTACGATTTGCCATTTACCAAACACATGCTGTGTCTCAGTTAAACCAGTGGGTGTATGTTCAGCTGATTTTTTAAACTTAGTACTTAAAAAGTGTAAAGCATTTTAGAGAATCCAGAACTGAGGTCTGCAGTCTCTTGTATGACACAGCACATTAACTTTTGCAAGAGTTCCATTACACAAAGGTTACTTATCATACTGCAAATAAGGTTTGATGAGACTGGAGGCACTGTGAGTCACGTGTCTGTGCCTTGGTTATCCGTTTGCTATAGAGCACATTTATGTCACTATATTCAACAACACCCTCTTTAACTCTGAGGTTTCTCAAACAAAATTCTGAGTGAAAATGAAAAGGAAGAAAAGAACAGATATATATCTCAGAGTTCTGAATTACATGAAGCTCACTGTTTGTTAAAAGTCCTATCTATGACCATTCAGTAGTTAAAAATGCAGAGCATCCTGACTTTCTCTTAAGTCTATGAACTAAGTTGTTTTGGTGTTGGCTTTTTTGTTTGTTTGCCTTTTTTTTTTTAAGAATTTAATCTCATAATCATTTAAGGATACAGAATACCTCCCCCCCCCCCCGACTTTGCGGTGCAAAACCTGCAATACCTTCACAGGACTAATATTTCAGCAACATCATCAGAACACTTCAAGATTAATACCAGCAAGATTAATACTAACACAATTTTAAAGATTAATTTTATACTGGAAAGTGACTCATCCTGTGTACTTGAAAAAGAATTGATACTTCAAAGACCGAATTTCATACCTGTGTGTTCTGAGGTATCTAATATTATACATTCCTGCAAGTTCTCACACATAACTTTTTTTTAAACCATAATACAAATTTTATACCAGTTCTACAAAGATTTTTTTTTTTAATGACAAATTAGGCATTTTTTTGCATACTGCTTTAATAATTAAGATCAAGGCACTAGATGCTGGTCTGGAAAATGCATTCCTTCACATGCTATGGAAGTTTGAAGCTTTTTTTTTTTTCCACTGAAGATTAAAACATGAGTATTTACTTGCTGCATTGGAAAAAAAAAAGGAAAACTCATACACTAACCTTGCTTACTATAACATCTTTCTCTTTCCTCTGTTGAAGAACAGGCTGAAGTGGTGAAAATTCTTGACTATTTCTCTTTTGTAGAATATGATGCCTCAGCTGATAACTTGCTTCAACATGTACAGGAGTCAAGATATCCCTTACATCTTTCTATGAAAATTGGAAACCTAATGAGTTAATCATATAAAACAAGACATGTGTGCTTATGTTTTAAAGATTATAAGGCTCCCTAGAACTAACTTAAACAGGAACACTTATTTTATTTTACATGTAAAATAATTTCATATGCCATACAGCTTACATACTTTCCCAGAAATCTTTGTCGCTGAAAGAGGTAATCAGAAACACAGAAAAGCATAATCAATCAAAGACAGCATCTGGCATTTCAGAATGGAAAATTCTTTTATTAAAAGAAGTCTTACTCAATTAGTGAACCTATTTCTGTTAATAATACTGCCTTACCCATGAAATGCTGTACTGCCCAAAGAGAAAAATAGGAAAAAGTTGGCTGAAATTGAGAAAGTTAACCAGTGGGACATTGCCAGACAAAACCCAGGGATTTTTCTGTATGAAATCAAAAGGAGTTCTCTCACAGGACCACTAAATCAGATCATGACTGCATTTTATTTTTCTGCCTCTTTGTGTCCTGTTCTGTATTAGAAAAGATTCGACTCTTCAGTAAATGACCATTTTGTACATGAAGGCTTGACTGTGTAGGAATGTTGCAGATCAGAGCCCAAACTGCCTACTTGTGAAAATTGAACAGCTTGAAGCACCAGTACTAACAATAGCAAACCTGGTTAAATTAGTCCCTAAGTGTAAGAGACAGACACTGATTGTCCCTCCACATGGCCACTACTTTAATTCTTATCTGCAAGCCTGCTTTGGCCAAATCACATATTCATAATAATTTTCCACAAGGTCTTCTCTGCATCTGTTTTGTATTACTGCCATTACACTAATTAGCTATTAATTAGTCTTTACTCAAAATACATAAAACATACTTCATCTCTTGCAAGGACTGTACTTGACAGACATTCACACTTAACTTTAGAAGCTTCATATAAGTACAGAAACCTCAATGGGTAAAAGGAGATGCTTATAATGCTATTAATTAAGAATTAAAAAGAAAATTGAATTATACAGAGAAAAAATAGACTACAGGATGTGATAAGACAAATCTTATCCTTCCTCCTACAGAAATATCTACTGAAGCTGGTACATAAGGTCAGCTGTCAGTCAAATCTCTCTTGGCTTACAAAATTCTTAAAAGTAAGTGGCAATTTGCTATTGCTCTTGTAAGTAACATTCACTTAGGTGCAATGACCAGTGGAGATGCATCTGGACTATCTTCCAATGGATAACGTAAACTTTGCTTTCTACCCTGAAGCTTTGTCATGAAGAATTGGCTTGTAATGGCAAGTAAACAAACAAACGGCAAGTAAAAGGAAGGAAGAAGAAAAATACATGGAAAACTTCTCCCCTGCAGGTTTTTGTTTGTTTTTTTTTTTTTTTGTAGCTGTAGAGAATTGAGTCTATTTCCCAGCCTCCGTGCAGGATCAGCCACACCAATCATCCTAATACATGCTGGTTTCAAAAGGTCACAGAATTGCTACCTTGAGGATTTTAAAGAAAAGGCTAGGCAAACTAGTCCATTATTTTACTACCCTTGTTTCCCCTTACATCTAAATATTTCCTGGCCTTAATATTTCTTTAAATTCTTTTCCCCTTAGCTATGGTCTTAGAGGTTGTAAGTCTGTTTTTTTCTGTGTGTAAAAAACATGCGGTTCCTCCGTGTCCACTGGTTTTTAGTGTTTGATTATGGTTTAGGATTTCAAGTTCTTCCCATTTATTCTCCAAAATTTTTGGTGCAATTAGCAAGCTTCTAAGAAAGAATAAAAGTGATTAAGTTTTTCTTGTCCAGTGAATGGCCTTAAAAATATCTTTGTCCTGTTTGCAGTTGTTCTTACACTCTAGATTGGTCCCTCATTCAGAAGGATATATCAAGCATGGTTCATTTCCTCCAAGGCAACAGTGACTTTGAGACTACTATTGCAGTTAAATTCTTACTGGCTAGATTCTTAACTAGCTCCAAGTCAGTACCATCCTCTATTTAAAAGGATGGTTGCTGTTGGATCAAACTCTACTTCTGGAGAAGCCAACAGCCAACTTCCTCCTGCTGAATAGTTGGTACCATCTCTATTATTTGATGCTGGTACAAGCCTCTCTGGGTATCTGACACCTTGCAGGCCTCCAACAGCCTCCTGCCAAATGCCCACTTGCCCTGGCAGCACTTCCATCTCTGTGGCTTCTCCTGTGAATCATTTCTACTAACAGATTCCTTCTACAACGAAGCTGTCTCTACCCCTTCACAGAGAGAGTAACCACTGTCACTACTAATCTGGTCCAGATTTCAGGTTGGTATGTCCAGGAGAAAGACATATAAGCTTCTCTTTTTTGAGCAGAGGAATAGAGAAATTACTTTCCAGCACAGTGCACATTCTTATTGAACTCTAAGTTCATTCATGAAACTATCGTGAGCGCTCTTCGTACCCTGTTTCTACCTGTTGATGCTCTGAGTATTTTCCTTGGGGAATGCTGCATCCCTTGCAGGATTAAAATCAAACAACTCCAAGCAAGTGTTGTTCTTCACACCCTGCTAGCCTTTGGCTGCTTGCAAAAAACGCGCAAACCAGACCATGCTATAAACCTGTAATTAGAGACTTGCTTCTACCAATCATCTTCATTTCATTTCCTATGGATCAGGAACAGGTTCTTTCCTTATTGGGTGAGTCTACCTCACCTACTCACGGTAAAAAGGGGAGCAAAACCATATATGTACTCTTTGAAATAGCTAAAAATGACAAAATAATAAACATATTCTCTGTGTAACTACAAGTTCAAATTAATGAGTACATAGGAAAGTTCCATCAAAAATGTTCAGCAGAAAAATATGTTAGACCCTATCTTGTTGGTTGCTCCATATAGGCCTCAATCTATGATCTGTCATCCATAAAAAGGGTGAAAAAATGTCAAAAATGCTCATGTCCTACTTCATCACTGTGATGATGATGATTATGCACATTCTTCACTGACATAAATGATGGCAGATTGACTTCCTCACAGAAAGCTGAGAAAGCTTCAGAATTAAAATATATTAACTGTGGAATTTATAAACAGAAATATTTTACTTCCAAAATTATGCGATGCAATTGTAAACATAATTGATTCTTTTACAGCAGGTGTGCTTTTCAAAGGAGAACAAAGGATTTACAGGGTTATACATACTCAAAATTACATTACCCTCATAAATGCTGGATGATCTTTGCAGGCAGTATTCTTGCTGTAAATCTTTACATTTCCTGAGATTGTATCAGATGTTCCATTGGAGGAAAAGTAAAATCTTGCTTGTGTATCTACTCTTCGGTTCACATCAACACTCAGATTATAAAGCAGCACTGCAAAATAAAATAAAGCAGTCCAGGGAAAATAAGTCATAAAAACTTATAAAAAAGTGTTATAATTTTCATGAATTTATGATAGAAATCACATCTTCTGACTCACTTCCTTAAGTTATGTTCTGTAATATGAAATGCTCTGCTTAAAAACTCTGACACAAATCCATACTTAATGAACACTTCTAGTCCTTTGAAAGTTGACTGCATCATGACTGATCCCTGAAACGTGCTTTTACATCAGGGTTAGTTTTGTCAAATTATATTTATAGTTTTCTACCAGAATCTATTTAAAGAAAACCTGCTCCAGTTACTTACAGGGCCGACATTAAATTTTGACAAAACATATTAAGTCAGCAGACACTGATGAATACTGTTTAACTTCACAGTTCTTTTCAAGTTAACATGAACTGCTATGATATAAGTTTCAGAGCACTACTGATGTATTACTTCTTAATCTCTGCCAAAAGCAGAGTTAGGATATCTAGAATTTCCTCTAGTCTTTTCTCTTTCAGTTCAAAGCCACGTTCAAATCCAGCCAGGCCAATCCAGTCTGACTGCTCATCTTCCACAACGTATATGAATTTTAAAAGATCCGAACTTGAAACTTTGCAGTTCATTGTTTGATGTGTTCTGTGTAATGTATTCCTAAAGGATATTGTATATTTTCATACAGAAGATTTTAAAAATTTAATTTTATATACCATGTACTTGCAGAGCTGTTTGTAGCTTACAAATAGCTTATGTGCCAAGTAGATTAAAAGCACCCAAGCAATACAATCAAATTTAGACAGTACATTATTTTAAATAATTTCACCATGAATATGCCCTCCAACAGGTATCGCTTCAAGCAATGTCAGTTTGTGCCAAAAGCAAAATATGCATTATATAAAATACAAGATATATTTTTCAGGACTTATGGTAGGACTCCCTCTTTTGCATAATGTTCCATAATTGTATGATCAGGTCCTTGATATGCTTTATGAAGGGAATGTTTTTTCTCTGTTACTAAGTGGAAGAAAGTGGTCCTACAGTGGTCCCATAGGGTTTGGTCCATGTCTTTCTTTGGTCCATAACTGCTTTTAGAGGACATGGGAGTATCATGCTGAATAATCCATTTGATTCAACATTAAGACATTCACCCACCATTAATTCCCTGCCTAATTGCAAAGCAACAGCCCATACATTTGCATGTGGAAAGCTCAGACAAGCACTCCTGTTGAGTCCTGTGCAAAACAAGAATACAGTCCCAGGGCAACTATGTAAAAGGAAGTGTTCACAAAGTAAGTGTGCTCTTATTCTTCATGAACCCTAATAGGATACGATTTCATTCAAAAACCTGTCAAAATGTTGGTCCTAGTTCTTATGGTGCTATGAAAGAGACCATCTAAAATGGCATCATTACCATGTTTGTTCAGAAGCATGAGTGTGAATCCAATCACACCACTTGCTAAGTAAGTTAATTCAGGTACCTGAATTAACCTATGATGCTGCTGCTTTAGCAGTGCTGCAAAAACCATGTGAAAATATTATTGCATGGTTGTGCACAGCCCCAGCTGAACTCTTTCCGTCACAATGTAGCTAGCTAGCTAAAAATTAGTCTTTGTTTGTCTAAACTGGTTGCCATAAATATTTCAGATAACTGTTGCAATAGACAACTTGGAGTTCCACCTTCATCCTCACAATATCTCACCCTTTTAACATCACTAATTAATGGTCCACAAAATACGAGTAACATTCTGTAAATAGGTTAATTTAAATTGAACACCTATGCTGGACTTTTTTTCCAGGTAGCTTACCAATATATCCAGGCACTTCTCGTCCTGTATAGGTAAAGCATATCTTCAAATTCATACAGACTGCAGGCTGGTCATTTTCCATGCAGTTTAAATTAGTGCGATTTATTGAACTTGGATGTTTTAAAGAAGCGTCAACAATTACCACTGGTTTTGTTCTAAAAATAGAAAAGAGTTAATGTTCACAAAACACTTCTGAAATAGTTTTCAGAATCTCTGACAGAAACTACTTTTGTCTTTTATAATTTTTTAAGCTATCTGTTTTTTTCAGATAGCTTCAAATAGCTGTGTGCACATTATCTGCTGCCTCAAGAAGTTTCAAAATTGTATTCCCCCCCCCCCCCCCCCCCAGGGTGCTTACTTAAATGTTTCAGTAGTAGAGTATTCTAGAGCCTAATGCCCAAAGTTCAACACACCAAGAAGAAGAATATCATGATATACCAGTGTGTTTTATCAAATTACATTTAAAAATACAGTTAAATTGTATAATCTTTAGAAGCACGGAAATTTAGCAATCTCACCTCAGCACCACAGCAGAATCTGAGAGAAATGCACCAATTGCTACATCTGCACACAAAAAAAATAGATCAATAAGCATAAGTTGTCGACAAGAATTACTTCTCAGTTACAAGCATTTTGGAGCATATTCATCTTTTGGTCAGCATTAAAGCACCATTTGTCCTTTATGTATTAGAAAGCATATGGTAATATTCAAAGCTGTTCTCTGTCTAGAATTTGATCCCTCCAATACTTGTCCACTGTCTATTAATGCTATGTGCTAATTTGCTGGACTTGCAGATATTGGTAATACGATGATTTGAGGATGCAACTCCCAAACCAGTAAGCAACAGGTGACCTGACAGCAGGCTACCTGCATACTACCTCTTAACCAAGCATTACAAATTAATCTGGATAGCTTTTCTGTTAACAGAGCCAGAACATACATTTCATCATCACTTTATGTTTTTACAACCTCAGGGGCAGGCAACACCTGACCTGACATAATGCTTCTCTGCAAAATGACATAATTTGACAATATGCTTAATACAGTTGTACACTAAGAACCAGTTAAATTATTTTTACACCAAATTAGCACTTTGCTGTCATGCCCACAAGAACTCCACAAGACTCTTAATCCAATGTTGTGAGCCCCAAGTTAGGTTAATGCATTGTTCATGCAAACTGAGAATCAAGTTGCTCAGTGACTCCTAGCAAAATCCAGACTACGTGAACACAGAAAGGTTTTTTAGGTTAGCACACTGGGCTGGACAGCAAACATGCTTCCAGTGCCCAAACTGTTGTGACATGAGCGATGAGATGGCTGCATAAAGGTAAAAATTACACTTTTCTTCCTCTTGTATACTATTACCTTACTGCTACATCATTCTCAGTCCTTAAATAATAGCTAGATGCCCATCAAAACCACCTCAGCTATAGCTCTTTTTCTTTTTTTTCTTCTCAAAAGGGATCATGTAATATGTCACCTTAGTAACAGATTTTGATTTTGTTAAAATAACAAGTAGCATGGTAAGGTTGTTCCCCCATGAATCTCTATTCTGTTAAAAATGAAAAATAAACAGACTTGTTTAATTTACCTTGATAACCGTTGTTATCTACATCAATTGCACTTGCTATGGATTGTCCAAACATGCTTAAAGAACTACTGAGTTGATGTCCTTGTATTCTCTGAAAAGGAAAAAAATAGAAGGGAAAATTATTCTTGGAAAGCTAACCTGAGTTACAATTTCCAATGAAAAATGTTGGCACAACCTTCCTGCTGCTGAAGGCAGTTACATGCTTACCTGTGAAAGTATACCTCTGAAAGTAATATTCCTCAATTACTGGCAAGTGTTATATCCCATAAATTCTATCTAAGGCCTCCAAAACAATTATTTTTTCTGTTACAGATTAATTCTGAAGTCTTTTAAAGTACCTTAGATGGTCTGAGTGTTAAATGGAGAACCCTCTTGAAACTGAAGGTTTTTCTGGACTGATTATTTTTAATTGAAAAATTGTACCTGTGAAAATGATGGTGTTATTCCATCTTCCCTGCCATTGTATATATAAATAACCCCTTTTAGATCATCTTCGTGTGGAGCCCCAATTGCTACATCTGTGGAAAAACAAACAATTATCAGTTGGTTAGTTAAAAGTATCATGGTCTTCAAAAAACAACCCAAACAAGAACACTGCTCCCACCCCCTAAAGAAAACACACCACAACAAAAAAAACAACCCTTGTTTGAATTCATAGAACTATGATGATTTTCCTGCAATCTGCTATTCCCATATGGATTAAATCACTGAAACACAAAAAGTACTCTTACTACGCTGCCTGAAATGAACCATTTATTTTAACATGAAATGTCCTTAACAGCTAATAACAGGCTTGAACAGGCATTAAATAAGGAAATGAAGGTAGCTGGTTTGTTCAAAGGGATACGTTTTGTGTCTAGCAAAATTTCTTTTCCTACTGCCACTCTCAATATTTGCTTCACTACCCCCAACCCCAATGTTTTTGCTCCCTTAAAAAGGTAATCCACCTGTTTGCTCCACCTCCCCCCTGCAGTTTCAGAATGCCAATTTTATATTATGTTATCTGTCATACATCTACTTTGCTTTGGTGCTATTAATTTGATTTTACTTCTCTCTTCCCCAGCCCTACCTCTGGATACAGTATTTCCTTTATAGTTTGTGAAGGTTTTGGGGCAAAACCTGAAACTTATGTGTAAAATTGTGAAGGTAATGCAAAACAGGAGAAACTACATGTAACAAGAATTTAAGGAAAAGGTATCAAAGGAGGTAAGGAAAAAAAAGAACTGCTTTACGGATAAGGAGACCAGATAAGAAGGGAATGACTATTCCAAGCTTTGCAGGTTATGGAACAGAACCAAAAAAAATCACAAAAACAAAGGGAAGAGTGAAAACAGAACCCTAGATTGTACCTGCAATTAGAAAGGGTAATTATGAAGTATAAAGATATGAACTTGATAAAGATACAGCTGACAGTTTCTCACAAAGGATATTAGCTCCCTGCCTACAGTCCAAGTTTTGATGATGGAAAAACTGAAACTGCTTATAAATTTTTGAACAGTAGAAAATGCCTGTCATGTTTTTAGCCTGTCCCCATACCATGTATTGTGCCTGCCCTTCTGCTGGAAGGGAGCACATGACAGCTTTTCAGGCAGAAATTTTGGCCATTCCTTTTTGTCTTAAACCATGACAAGATGAATGAAGCCACTGGGCCAGGCCCCCTCTGCTTTCTTCAGTGCAGCTGGAGTCCTCCCAGTCAGCTGTGTTTTGCAGGCTACTTAAACAGCTAGTGAATGGTCTTGGAAGAAAAGAAGCTAAGAGCAGCAGACCATGCAGCTTTCTGTAGCAAATACATTTTAGGCAGCCTAACTGGAAGCAGAAGGGAAATTCAAGGCCATGAGTCATTCTAGATGTTATAACCTGTCTTGCATCCTTTCATCTGTTTCCTAGTACTAAAGTATCTTTATAACTTTCACACAGCATTCTCTTTCAATGCTTATCACAGAAGTCAGACACAAGTCTGGAGACTGAATGTTTCTGCTCTCTGAGCAGGTTCCACCCGAACAATACCAACAGAAATTGCAGCACATATCATATTTAGAGAAGGTGTTTCACCCTGGGTGGTGGGGAAGGAAGAGAGGATATTCTGCTTCTGTTAAGGCATCTAACTTTATATGCCCGAAACAGAACCTCCTGTATAGACAACAGGAACAAAAACCTCCCTCAGAGCCCCATTAACATTCTGAATTTGCCACTGGGGGATGGCCACTGAAGTCCGTCCCTGTGTTCTCTGTCTACTGGCAAACCTTGCTAGGCAATTCATGGTTTATCTGAGGGCTTGACTGAGAAGTAGTCCCACAATAGACTCCCAACTTGCAGGTTGTTTTCCTTATCTCCATCTATTTAGTGCTTCCTATTGGAAGCAGATCTTGACTCAATGTGTAACTTTTATTTATGATGTTAAAAAAAAAAAAAATATCACCAGATTGTTCCCCAACCATTGTCTCAGATCTCTAAAACAGGATGAAGAATTCTACTAGAAGTCCAGCACTTGGAGTAACAGATTATGTTATCACCTTGTGGTCATGCTCTGTATTAAAGCAACAGAACCTAACCTCTTGGTATTACACATCAATGACTGTGAAATAGCTGTATTTCACAACAGTGGCCTAGAAAAGAAAAGTCAACTTATCAACTGAAATTCTTCCAAGACTTCCATAATTGTCCTGTTTATCATGACAGTCCACTGCTCAGAGAGAATTAAACCCAAGGAGTTTTCTTTTTATACTTACCTTCAAAGCCATCATTATCGATGTCTCCTAGATTGGCTATGGACTCTCCAAACCTGGCTGCGTATGAGTCACTCCCACTCAGCTCTATGTTCAGTTCTACCATCTTTGCCTCCTGAAGAAAAGAGTCAACGGCACATTAACAGGGTGCCTTCCAAGTGTCCCGGAATGTTACTCAAAATGTTAAAACTGCTTTGGATGCCAATATAAAATCCTACTGAAAGACTTGGTGCAGAAGCAAGCACTACCAAAGGTATTTAATAGTATTTAGTGTTAGACTAAGAAAAAAAAGAAAGTTGTTTTTTAATAAGGAGAACAGCAATGTTCTCCCTGTAAGCAGCAGCAAGCTTATATCAGAATACAAGGGATTACTGCTCTGAGAAACCTGCCAAAAATGTAGTAAAGAGTAGCTGTTCAGAGCTATTGCATGTGCCTTAGATGTCACACACCTTACCCTGGAGTGACTTAGATCTCTGTGCAGAAAACATGTTAGGAAAATGTTAATTGCAAGTATAAGAGAATAAATATGTATTAGAGAGAAAAGAAGGGAAATAAGAAAAAAATTTACAAAGCCAGACAAATTCAGAACACACAAAAAAATAGGGTTTGTACTTTCACTTCTCATCCTTAAAAAGAATAAAAGGAAGCTATTTCTAATGCATGATCTGCAAAGTTAATTTATTTGACAAACTGAGGATTACCAGTCTCTTTCCTGACTGGTACCACTAACTGCAGGCAAACTTTTCATTCCTTGTTTGTTTCTGAAGTGCTAAAAAAGTTGCTCTTCACACGCCAGTTCAGTGGTAAGCATGGTAATGGCAGAGAGCTTGCAAAGAGGCTGTAGTGGCAGGCTGTCACCACCTATAGATACTGTGAAACAAAACTAGTCTGACCTAAATTCTAACACTAGCGTAATAATGCATCACACCTTATACAGCCAACCTTCTGCAAGTATGCTACACAGTCCTACTGGGATTGTCATCACAGTTCTAGAGTTGTTTTTTCTATATCCTGAAATGTTGTATGCTGAGAGAGGAAATCTATTCCTCTTAGTTATACTAGAATGACTATTACCAAGAAGAAAATACTTACAGAACCTGAATTGATATAGACATAAACTCTTCCCTCTTCTCTGATAGTACTTTGCATTGGAGCACCAACCAGCAAGTCTGAGAGGCCATCTGAATTCAGGTCCACAGCACAAACTGCAGCTCCGAAGTAAGAACCTAGCTGTGTGCAAAAATGAAATAACATTGGTTTTGAATTTCCATGAAGACATGCTAGAAGTTCTAATGTGGAGAAAAGTGGTATGAAAGATTTACCTTTTTACCCTTTAGTTCAAACAGAATATTTAGGTCCTCCTCAATGCTAAAAATATATGCCTAAAATGAAAAGAAAATGTAAGTGGAGTCCAATAAACAATAATCTGAAGTATTTCCCCATGCTTTCTCTGCAACGTGCTAGAGAATCACCAAAACAACACACAGTATCACAAAGTACAGCTATTTACTGTATCCTATCTGTACCTTTAACACCTCACACCAATGTTATCTAAACTATCACCTCTCATTCCTCTGACTTTTCTCCCTATGAAAAATCATATTTATCTGATACTTGTCTTTAATACATTAACCTAAATTGGAAAATCATAGGTAGGTACATGGGGGTATATTCTTCAAACCAATAGTATAAACAATCTCTTACTTTACCAGTCTGTTCCTGTTGGGGAGCCCCTCCAATTACTTCTGTACTGGCTGATGTCAGAAAATGTCCAGCCCCAACAGAGTATCCTGTAAATTAGAAATGCACTATTCAGTACTGGAAATAAAATGGGAGCATGACGTTCAAGAGCTGTCAACACTGCAAATTACTGAGTCTGACATTCAGACATCATGCAAATTGGCAATGAAAACAGAAAACAAAGTTTAAATATAAGCAAAAGGTCAATAAAACCAGTAAGTTCCAGCAAGCAGAAACAAGTGTCAGAAAAACTCTTTTCTTTCCCAGAATCTCAATTATCTGCCACACTTTAAAAGCCAATAAAATATATTTCAAACACCTTCTGTTAATGTGTATTCTGCAATTGTTCAGTGAGTCTGTATTATAATACAAATAAAATTATCAAAAGCCCAGACAAAACTATATGGGAACACTTAACTGATTTGTTACTCTCTGATTACTGCTGTAAGTGGACTGCAGAAAAATGTAGTGCTACGTATATGTACGTGCACGTATTCATGCACACATACATAGAGCACTGTGCATATACACATACAAAAGTGTCAGGAAGAAACTGAAGCACTAGCTTGATTATGTGATAAGAAAACACTGCATCAGCTTTTGTAAATGGATCTACATAAGTATTGTAACATGTGGAGACAGCTGTGCACAAACAGGACCACATTTTGGTGCAGGTGTCCAGTTACAGGACTGCAAACTGACCTGTGCAGTCCTGCAGAGCTACCTATGTCTACACAAGTCATCAATACTCTTCCCAGAAAACGTTACAGCCAAGTTGAAACAGGGGAGACAGTTGATATATTGTACTACTCTTGCATTTACTGAATGAATGTTAACTCTCACAGTATGCAGTGAAAACAGAAAAATCATCTTGGATCAGATGAGAACAAGCCTTCAATCTTTTACCCATGAAGATATTAGTCTAGAATTCAAGGCTTGTTCTCATCTGATCCAAGATGATTTTTCCATTTTCACTGAATACTGTGAGAATCAACATTCTTCGTTTCTTCCAACTTATGCAAAATGTTATGATGCTTTCCCACACACCTCCTAGAGATCTCTTTGTTAATTATTACTCTTTGTTTAATTAAGGATGTAAATAAAGAAATCAACTTCTCAATCCCTGCCAGAAGAAGAGTGGCATAAGTAGATAAGTATGTCTAGTCATGTGTTTGAATTACACTCTGGTCACAAGATACTTCCACTACTTGGTAAACTGGTAAGGATATTTTTGTTTATTATTTAAGGGAGAAGTAAACTCAGACTAAAAACCCAACAAACGTTGTTAACAGAAGTAACCCTAAATAGACTTTGGCCTTAAATAATGCCAAAGATGGAACAGAACAGTAGCCTTTACATTCTTTCAACCACATTTTATATTATTATAAGGAAACAAAGCAGAGGTTTAAGTAGCATGGAACAACGCAACATTTAAGGTTTATCATAGCTGCTACTGCAGAGACAAACAGATGAGCTAATAGTTCCTTTCTTCACTTTCCTGTAGAAAGGGGAATTTTAGAGGACACATGGCTGTGCCAAGCCTGGTACAGTTGCACCAAGTCACTGGAGAAGTATTTTCTGAAGCATTCCAGCTCATCTCAGGTCCTGGATAGCTCAGGGAACCAGGAGAGGCCACACATGTGCAGGAAGGCCTTCCATGCACCCTCCCCAGCACCAGTCCTTATGCAAGCTTTTACCGATTTGCCTGTGCCTGACTTTTGGCTATGAATGATTTGACTCATTCATTACAGAAATTCTCAGTTACAGCTGTAGAAGTAGAAATCTGAAATGACCTTTTTTCCTCCCCTATAGGTGCAATATTTTTTCTGCTGATTGTTACTGGAAAGTTGGAACAAGCATTCTCCCAAGTGTTTTTGTTTGTCTTATGAAAGGTTAGAAACATTACTGGTTAACCATAGAGACTTGGGTATTTGATCACCTTTTGCCATCCAGCATCTCTTTTGCTTGACTTTCCCACAGAGCGCAACTGCAGCCCTTGCAAGGCTCAGTACTGTTCTTAAGTTGGTCACTTTGTATTTCATAAGGTATGCCTGCTTCTTATTCTCAAAAGATTGAAATCAGACACAGGAAATGTTTATCCACATGAACCAGATCTGTGACTGGGAAAATGCAAAAAGCAATGGTCACGGGCAAAAATATCCTTGCTCAGGAGTCCAGGAAGGATAGACAAGCTTTTCTTAGTATGTAGTGAGAAAACTGAAGCTGATGATGGCTCTTGGTATAAAACCCTACAAATTTTAGCACTAAATTCTGCTAACTACTTGGAAATGGATACATGAGTAGGAGCTTCATGGCTTTGTTTGCAGGCATTCATAGATAAGGTCTACATTCCCACAAATCCAGACCGAGCAAACCATACTAATCAGAAGCCTATCTTGCCCTTCTAAATCAAGAAACCATAGAAACTCAAGAAAGATGATAAAAACAGAAATCCTGTGTTTGAGAAGTTTACATGTAAAAATAATATGGAGGAAGACTTATAATGAAATAATATTTAACAAAATCAGAACACATCTTTATAACTGTCACTTCTGGGATTAATAAAGCAAGCACTGATAAAACTGTGCACTCACTTGAACATCAGCTATTTAGCTAATTCTTTGGCCTGTGTTTTTTGCAAAGTATTAAATATTTTTCAGTACCTAGATAGCTGCCAAACTTCACTTGGTTATTTGAATCTGTATAACCATGGATTTTATTTGCTGTTGTGTTGTATATAAAAACAGAACCAGTCCAATAAAATGATCCAGGGGCTCCCATTATAATTAAGTCCTGAAAAAAAAAAACAAAACCATGTTATTCATATTTAAATATTAATGAAAATAAGCAAAGCAAGTCAAATGATTGTCTTTAGACCTCCTGTAAATTCAATTAAAATGCTACTGGAAATGCTTCTGCCTCAGTACTGGGGGATTACCTCTAGATCACAGATGGTGTTTTTCAGACTTTCTAAAAATACAGTTATTAAAAACTTTAAGGTGTGAACAACTTAGAAAAGAGCAACAAACAGGGTATTTGCTTCTCAAGAGTTTTTTGAAAATCATTATCTTAGAGTGAAATGAAGATTAAATAACAGTATTATTCTGTCAAGCAAGAAGGTAAGCATTATTAATGTTAATGTTACATCAAACAGATTAAAGACAATAATAAAACTTCACACTCTTACATTCATACTCTTTTTCCAGATGAAAAGCAATTCTGTGTAGTAGTAAATTGCAAAAGTATTCTTGGGAATAAAAACTACTTGTTTTAGAATTATCATGCAGGTCTCACAAGATTCAATTAAAAAGAGATGATAAAAGTCTGATTTTTTCCCTCCCACAATAAAAGACAGTGTTAATGCTTGCATTTATGTATACACTTTTAGGTATGCATACGTATATTAAGTGTGTATATATCTAGAAAGAAGTTTGGTATTTTAAATACACACCTCAATGTAAAAACTAGACATTCCAGCCTGGCACGACCCATGGTCTTCTCCCAACTTTCGCACATGATCTGAGAATAATGCCAAGAAATTTTTTAAAAAGAGGAGAAGCATGTAGTTTAAGAATTTGTTACCAGCTTGTCAACAGAAGTTAAGACAACTTAAAAAACAACAAAACAACATTTTCAGTTCTGTAATAAAACTAGAAACACTGGTCTCCACTGTAGCTTCAATATAGTATTGTAACAAATTCAAAGCACTATGTATTACTTGATCACAGCTGGCTTTGAAATCCTGTCACTATAAAGGCTATACTTTTCTTTTTTAAACTGTCCCATGAATGAAATAGCACAAATAGTTTGAGCAGCACAGTTAGATAAGCTTAGTTCTTCTCTTCCACTTTGTACAATTCAGGCATAATCTGATTGACAGGCTTATTATTCTTGACAGGAGTTGTTCTGATGCTCCACTTGTGCTCTGCAGAGCTTGTGTTATGGCTATCTTGGACATACTGGTATCCATCATCCTAAGCAATTGTCTTTATATCCAGCTCTCCCAGCTCTGTTTTCCTGCTTTTCTTTGCTAACTGCCTCCCTCATCAGGATCCCCTTCATCTCATCAATGGATTTGTTCGCTTAGAAAAGTCACCAAAGGTAAAAGCATAATTTCACCAATGTTTGTAACAGTCTCTGAAGCCAGCAGCAGGACATCTGATGGCATTATTCTATTGGTCTGCACAGAAAGGCCAGATGGTCAGCTCTTCCTTGCAGCCTCATGAGATTGTTCTCCTGGATGCGAGGCAGGCATGAAAGGGTAGGCAGGGATGGACTCATCTGACCGCCTCATGTCTTGACTCTACTCCTGAAGTCTTCTCAGGAACGACCACTGAAGGTCTTATGCCACAGCAGTGGCCTTGGCAGGAGGCAAGTAAGGAACACGGACACACACTGTTGAGCAACCACAGCAGCTTTCTACCAAAGGCTAAGGAGCAGGCAGCAGCCATCACTTGCTTGGTATTACTGCTGTGAGGCACTCTCCTGAGCAGAGCAAGCAAATGAGACTAAAGGAAGCAAGGAAGTCCTCTACTGGCCTTTTTTTGAGGACCACACATGCTCCAGTGATCCAGTCTAAGGAATAAATATTCTGATACCCTATTGAAACTGTATTTTTTTACCTGTTGAAAGAAGCTTTTATTTGAAGTGATAAACATCTTGCTAACAAATTTACATCTTAAGTTGGGCTTGTACCATTAGTACTCAACCTTCAAACCTTTGGCTGCAGAAAGCCTGCTCACAGCCACATAGGCTCTTCACAAACTGTGCACCATGCACTTATCTTGCCCTTCCCTAAAAAGGACACAAGCAATCTGCTTACCTTTATAGCATGGGCATATTCTTCTGCTCAGTTCAGTTCGAAAATCAGAAGGGACAGCAAAACAAATACCATATGGGAGTTTGTGTTCAGTTCTTATGTAAAAGATATTTTTCCATCTATGTCCACAGGCCTATGGATAAAAACCAAAAGTGATTTTTGACAGAGAAGCGCAAGAAATGTAAAAGCAGTCTGACAAACAGACACGCAGCTCCAGCTGTTAATACATACAACGATAGATCCATTTTCTTTTGGCTGCCTCGATAAACTGACACCCAGCCACTGATTATCACGCTCTTCCAAACAAGTCTTCCCACAGTACTCTCCATTGGGGTTGCCTAGGACACAAAGACCAATGCTTTGAGCAGGGATACAAGCTGAAGGGCCATGTAGTGGGTAACAGAAGCACTCAAAAACTCTAAGGGGAAACTACAGTAACTGGTGGATCTGACTTCTGTCTTAAACAGGCCATGTAGACTTTTCACTTTCTTCTTGAACAAAGGTACAATTGCACATAGCCAAAGGGAACATACTGGTTCTGAACATAAGCTGGTAGTGAAGCTTGGCTTCTCCATCATTATTGAAATTAAGATAGAAAGTTAGGCTACATCAATCTGATGAAGGACTGGCTTTGCAGGTGTTCTTCAGCCTGAAAGTTCCTTAGAAACACAAGTAACACCCGTGAGTGCTACCTAAACTCTAGCCTAAGGCAAGCATCTTTCCAAATACATATCTAGTGGCAGCAGACCTTAAAATGATCTCTACTGCAAATGGCTATTAAATAAAGGCTGTAAAACTGCAATCTCAACTGGAGATGCCAGATCATTACATATGCATGTCCTGTGTACTGCCTGCACTGTTGCAATTATTTATCTGCAGCTCTTTGGTTTTGCTCTTAAAGAGATTTAATTTTTAAAACCATAGAGACTACAGTGAAATTTCTTCTAACCCCCCCCCAAAAGTATTGCCAAGTTAGCAAATATTTGCTTCCTTCTAGAAAGAAGTAGTGGTAAGGAGAAGCTAAACATTTAAAAACATTCAAAGTTGCATGAAGCAAGCTTTTTATTTGTAAGATGCCTGTATAAATAAGCATCAACCAAATCACTGAACCAGCATTTTCTATCCATCAGCACAACATGGTTGATGAAAGACATTTCTTATAGGGAAACATACGACATTTGGACAAACTCTTCTGCATAATTTTTAAGACTCTCACAGATTCAACACACTTACTGGTGAACACCAAACTTTTGAGGTTTAAGGGGTTTAGTTACTCAGAAGAGGATGCCAATGCACACCCCCGAGTACCAATATACCCAGAGAGGAGGAAAAAATAAAATAAATCACTCCCCCTAAAACTGTGCTCACACCAGAGCTGAAATTTGCCACTGTCCAATGCACTACAGAGTTTAAATAAATACACTTTAGTGGACTTGCTGAATTCCTTTTATAGGACATACAGTTGTGCAATTATCAATTAAGTATGGATATAGAATGGAGGGATACACCTACTCTATTCAGTAGCCAGGAGAAAAACATATGATTTAATACCTAGGGTGTCATGGACTTTTTAAGAGAAAATACCAGATTAATGGAGTCAAGATAGCTCTTTATCACATGGTAAGAAAACATCAGGAGAAGTATTTGTATGATCTTTAAAGTCCATTTCAACCCAAACCATTCTATGATTCTATGAATAAAACCCAACAACCATCCTAATTTCAGAGCCTGTTCCCTACTGTTTTGTGACAGGCCCAGCAACTGACATTTGTCTGAAGAAACTGCTGGAGCCTTGATTTCTTCTACTTACGTATTACCTCTCCATTTCTTTTTCCAAACATCACACTTTCTCCCTGCTCTGATGGAGGTGAGAGTAGCACAGTCTAGAACCCCTCACCAACCTGCAGACAGGAGGACGCACCCTGCACACCACAACAGCACTCTTACCTTCTTCCAAATATAACACCCTTCACAGAGTCAAGAGGCATCTAACTCTCCTTCACCTCTTCTTTATTACTTCCTCCCCCATATACCTTTCCATAAGAAATCAAGGAAATAGCGATGCAAAGTCCAAGTAAACAGGAACTGACCTTAGCACTCTCATACTCAGTTGTCTTCTGGCCAAGAGATTTTATATTACTGTCATTTAATAATTCCTGTAGGTGACCTGACGAATGGTAATTAACAACATGTGGGCTCTTACTTCAAGACAAGCATGAAAGAAAATGCATTATTTAAAAAAATCTACTAAAAACAAGTTGGGTTTTTCTGCAGGTTTAAGTGATAAGCTTCTGAATTCTCCTACTTGGCTAATGTCAATGACATTAAATTCTACATGCTGAACACATATCAATTTCAGTCACAAGCTTGGAATTTAGTTTTGGAATTTAATTTTGGAATTATGTCACGTAGAAGTCCTCACTTCCTAAGGGAGACATGCCCACTGTTTGTATGGATTATAGAGCACGTTTATCCAATTGAAATCTCCTCAGAAAACAAAACTCCATTACACCCCCACATGTAAGAATTAATCCTCCTTGAAATTGCAAAAGGCCCTCTGCTAACTCCCTACTAGCAATGCTTTCCATCCCCTGATGACAATAACTTTGGTTTATAGTGTATGTGGATTTTTAGAAAATGGGAAAAGGGGAGAAGATCAGTGTCATAAATTTAAACCTCAAGAGGCTTTTTGAGTCTATCAGTAAGTCAAACAAGACCAGATAATAATGACATGAGAGATAAGTAATTGCTTGTCTTAGTGCTTCATTTCTGTGCCACAACATGAAAAAGCACCACCATTTCTTCATGCTCACCGGATTGCACTCCCGCTTTTACTTGGCTCCAGCAAACATTCTTAAGGCTCTCTTTGGCCCTTTGTTGACCTGCTGTCTTATGTCTCCTCTCTTTCTCTGACTGGCAAGTATTCAACCACCTTGAAAATTATAGGCTTTTGTGGGCAAGAGAAGCATGATCTTGACATCCTAGACACCATGATGAGCCCTTTCTCAGAGTATGACACTATAAAAGTTTTATCGAATGAGAAGAAAGAATGCTATATTCCGCACAAGCAACAGAGCAACACTGCATAAGCTCAAGAGGACATGGCAGCTTGGTTGCCTCAGGGAAAAGGAACACGTGCTGTCATGAAGTCACCGAGAGATAAGTAATTGCCCAGCCTGTGTACATTACACAGCTGGAAGATACACTTCTGCTATAATCCCTGCTGCATACATCCACAGAAACAGCACAATCGCATATAAATAAGGTCACAACTTATAAAGCCTCTTCTAGCTTTGGCCTCAAGGACTCCAATACAGATGTCTGCAATGTCATCTGAAAAAAAGTTTTATAAAACTTGCTCCAGTGCTTTCCATGCCCAAAAACCTCCCATGATCCTTTTTATCCTCCCAGAACTCCTCTGGTCCTATTGCTAATTGATTAAAACTATGAAGTCTACTGCAAAGACAATAAGCTTTATAATATCCTGCTCCTAGATGCCAGGGGCTCATCAGACTCTTTTTCATTCATTCAGGGTGATCTCTACAAAGAATTGATAGGTCTTATTTCTCTTATGTTCCCTTGAACCACTTCTACCCAAAACATTTTAGTTAAGTGCCAGCTGTTGAACTCTAAACAGACCTAGGTCCAGAAGGTTCTGTCTTCCTTGGAATAGTGTTTCTATTTCAAAGGAGATCACTGACAGGGGACAAACAATGCAAGTGAGATCAAAAAAGCCAAACTACGAAAGGCAAGGCTTACTGAACTCAAAAGTTGAACAACGCAGGTCAGCCCTATGGGGAAAACCATTAACTGCTCACATTTTCATTGCAATGATTCAGCTGGGGGAGCTAGAGGGCAATTTGTTCACAGGTTAATTGTATCAGAGACTTAAAAGGAAGGGTAGAAGGCTGAAACTGTGGGCAGAGCTTTCTGGTCTTGTATTAAAGACCATGTTCTGAATTTACTGTGTACCTTCGTAGTTGAATCTCTCTTGTTTTTAGACTGAACTGCAACTTTTAGAAATTGTTTCCAATATTTTTGGCCAGTGAATCATTGTTTCAAATCTGAGAGCTATTTTGTTGAAGAACTTCTGTTTTGTTTCGCAAGTCCAGAATATCAAAACATCTGATGAACTCTGTGCAAGATCCTCTGCAGTAACTTAATGACTACCTCAAACTGACGCGGCAAGGTTTTGAAATTCAAAAGGCCAGGAGACTGGTAGAAATAGACACTTAGTTCTCCAAATAATAAACCTGAAGAAGTGTATTTTGTATTTGTGCTTAGAGCTTGATAACAAGCCTCTGCATCTAACATAAGTCATAGTTTAAAACCACTCCAAATACAAACAAATCAGCAGTCTACAATACTTGATATCATCAACAGAAGTAACAGAACTAGAAAAAAAAACTCTTAAAACATTACTCCTCTATTCAGCAATCAGGAAGAGATTTTAAAATGCCAGTAAGGGGCCTGGAAGATAAAGATTTACTAATGTATCTCATGGCTCCTCTCAGCCCTTAAACCAGCCTAGGCCCTTGAAGCACCTTGAACAAATGTAAAATTCTCTGAAGTATGCCTGGATGGGTTATTTCCAGATGCTGGAATGACGGCAGCACAGTACTGTTCCCAGCAGCTCTTTCTCGTCTGAGCAAGCAGATAGGAACATGCAACATAAAAAAATACAACAGTAGTTTTGCGTGATCAGAGGCTCCCTAATTGTGCAGGAATCCTTAATTAATTAGTTATGCCAGTTTCAAGGCTACTTGAGTGAAAAACAGCAACAAAATGTTTTAACGTTTCTGTCTCTAAGTAATTCACATCCATTACAGAGGCCAAACACCTGGAAAAACCCATTTCAATCACCTGTTGTCACATCTACGTTTCTATGACTCACAATTAGAAACTTATTACCTCAAAGATTCTTTTACTGACAGAAATGTGAACTGAAGTATTTAAGAGAAAGACAGAAATGGCTATTTCTCAGTTTGCCTGTACCAGCAATGTAATATATCACTGCACATTTTTCAAACAAAATTATCCTATTCTACAAGATCAGAACCCAAACTTGTCACTGTCATGAATCCAAGCAGGAGAATGAGGAGGTCACTGACTGAAAGACACTGCATTGATAAAACCATTATGTCCAAGAGTTGTTGACAGCCTGAATGAGCTAGACAAGAGATAATTAAGCTCAGCTTTGCAATTGCAAGTTCCCTTGTGTACTTCTGTGACCGCTCAGCAGGATGGGAAAGGCTTAACAAACCTCAGATACTACACTACTTCATTTACACCCCACGCGCCACAACCGCCTTTGGCTTCTTCGTTGACCTCAATGACCTGTTTTACAATAGAGCACTTCTTTGCAGTATCTATTTAACTTCAGAAATACCGCAGGCGTACCTTCACGATGTAAAGATGTCAGCTAGCACTAAGGGAAACAAACACTGCAAAAATCTCTTGCAGCATCACTGGTTTTAGGAGTACAGGACAAGACAGCAAACATCATTGCGTAACCTGCTGCCTCTAAACCCAGGAATAGCAGCTGTGTTAAATTAAGCCTCTGGAGCCACATATACATTTCCATTCACCTGTTGCATCGTTTCTATTTGAATCCCTTAAGCTACTGAGGAAAAAGCCCATCAAGTTATTTTGTTAGAGCTTTTGTTTCTCCACTGGCTAAATGAGTAAGTCGAGAAGTACTGCAGATGCATGTAGTTTCCAAAGAACCTGAAACTTACTACCCTTCCCCTCTTTTCCTTCCCCCATGCAGTGAAACACTGTTTTCACCTCCAATCCAGAAGGGGTTTACTGCGTCTTCGCTATTTTACTACTTATGCAAACCTTCTCTTACAAACAAACGTTTGGAGAAGAAGGCTTTTTGTTATATATTAAAAAGAACAAAAAATAAGAACTACTTGGGCTGGAATAAGTTTTCTTGCATTTCTTTCCAGGAATAGCTTGGCTTTTCTTTATGTGGCTACAAGAACCACTTAAAGTATCTTACACTTTCATGGCTTCGTTAAAAAAACAATTCTTCCTTCTAACTGTAAGTGCAAAAATGGACAGAACCCATCAGTTCCAATCATCATGCATAAATGTAGAGAAACAGTTGTTTTAACGTTTTTGTCACAGAATGCGCATTCAGTTCATGGCACGAAATTGTTTCCATTGGTTTCAAGTAATTTGAAAGCCCTTTCCCGCGCTTATCCTTACTGGGCGGTAAATTCATAGTTTTAACGGATCGGATAGTCTCAGTCACAGCAGGATAGAAAGTTCAGGAAGCTTCCCATGCATAGCACAGGGATAGAACCAACAGCACTGTAAGCCAGGGGAACAAGAACAGAGCCCAAAGCAATTCACACATAATCACGGTAACCCATTGCAAAGTGTTCTCCTTTTTAACAAGTAGCAAACACTTTGAAGTTGGCTAAGCCTATCCAGTTGCATCTCCCAAGCTGTTGGCTGAGGAGGTAGAGGAGTTTGGATGAATGTTAAGAGCTGGAAAAACTGATTCAGTCAAAAATAGCTTTGTTCCCCTTAAACTCGATTTTTTTCAAGAAATCTGGTAGGAGGGAGAACCCACCCGCGAGACAACTGTGGCTCAGATACTTTAGGGTAGTTTCTACGAAGAAAAACCTTTGCAAAAGATTTAGACACATGCTTCCATACCCCACCCCCCATCTCTGAGCTCGTTACACTGGCCCTCAGCTGAAAGCTGAACTAGTTTTCTGCTGACAAGTACGAGAGAAATTCTCAGAAGGCTTTCGAACTAGATGTTGAAGGTGCGAAAGAAAATTGGCATCGGGAGCTGTCACATGCAAGTTCTCCAAATCAAGTTTTGGTGCATTTCTTTCTGTCTACAGAAAAAAAGAAATAAATATAAAGGTGCCACCGTTGCTGCCCTTCGGCGATAGCGTTAGTCTCACGCCTTAGCGAGAGATAAAGCCAGTTTCACCTGAAAAGACGCAGAAGAAACCTACAAAGAACCCTGCCGTCCCGCTCCCGGCAGGGACACTCCAACCACCCACCCCGCCGTCCGGGCCCCTCCGCCAGCACCCGGTGTCTCCCCGCCCGCGCCCCGCCGCCGACTCACCCAGCTGGAGCTGCTCGCACCGCCCGCGGGGGTTCCCCCCTATCCGGCACCGGAAAATGGCCCCCGGGTTGACGACCGAGATGTTGGTGGGCCAGCTGGCCTGCGGCGCGCCCACCACTAGCCTGCGGGGCAGAGACGGCAGCGTGAGCGGCCGCGACGAGCGGAACGGGTCCCCGTGGGGGCCACCCGGCCGGAAGGGAACTCACCATTTCTCCTCGCCGTGTTGGTGAAGGAGAACCGAGTACCCGAAGAGGGTCCCGTTGCCCCCCTGGAAGAGCAGTGGGTGCTGAGTGTCCAAGTTGTAAGGCCGGGCCGTCGGCAGGCACTGCCATAGCAGCAGCAGCAGCGGGGCAACACAACCCGCAACCCTCCTCGCCGTCCCACAGCTCCGCATGGCTCCGGCCAGCCGGAGGCAAACGGGCGGCCGGCGCCGGCTTCCCGCCTAGCTCCGCTCCCCCTTTCAGCGAAAGGGGAGGGTAGCGCCGCGCCCCCGCCTTACCCTGCCCCACCCCGGGACGGCGGCAGCCCGCACTCTGCGCTGTCTCCGCTATCAGCGGGTCGGGCGGCCTGCCCACAGTCCCGAGCCGGGGCGTCCCCTCCGGATAGGGGAGTTGCAGAGCCGCGCCGCCTCCTCCCGCGTTGCAGCAGCCCCTCGCTCTTCCCGGTGGCTGGGGTCGGGTTTCTCCCCGCCCCGTCCGCGACCACTGTGGTGCTGCGGGAGGGAGGCACTGGGAGGGTACGGCCTCTGGGACCCGGTGTCTCCGGGCAGTGCACGGCCTGGCCCCGTGGGACGTGGTCATCCCGACCCCCGTTCCCGGCGGGACAGCGAGGGAGTCGGGAACCCCTCACCTCAGCCCCGGTATATCTGCCCGGCGGGCGGCCGGGGCTAGGTAGCTGCTGTTTCCGCGGCAGAATGAGGGAAAGGGAGAGCAGTGTACTTCTCCTAAAAACTTCCTGCTGACTTTCCAGACCCAGCTCCCTTGAACTGCCCGGGTCCGGTCAGTCTGGTTCGCAGCTCCCGCAGCCCATCTACCCTGAGCAGCAGACGGGAAGCTACAGCCAAACGCAAGCCCATCTTCCCTCCCAGGGAGGAAGACTGAGTGATGAAGCTTGCATTATTTTTTAAGATGGAGCAAAAACTTCCAGTACCCCGTGCTGTGAGCCTTCCCCACCATCATTGCTCTGAGGGGATCTTCCCTACCCCCCTGGTGAGAGGTCCTGAAACCAAGTGCCCTAGAAGCAGACAGTCCTAAGCCCAAGTCTACCTCTGCTGGGCAAGACTTAGTCGAATGAAATCAGACTAACCCGCCATCGGTTGTTTTTTGTTTGTTTTTTTTTTTTTTTTTACATCTTAGAGTAACTTTTTCACATTCCTGTTCGGTTCTTCAGTTGCTTGATAGAGTTGCCAGCCATTCTTCCAGACAGCACGAGAACAAAGAAAAGCGTGACCATCATGCAAGATACCTAGTATTTCGTAGGTCCTGAAAAGGCTCCCTTGATCTTACTGAGGAGCTTTATTGTCTATGTTTTCAGAAGTCAGTTACTGACTCTTGGTTTAGCTCATCCTGAATTGTGTGCATACTGAAATCAAGCCTGGTGCTTCTACCAACAGACCTTGGCCTGCTGAAGCCCCTTGAATGCCAGGGCTTCCCTGCCTGCCATAATCCATGTATACACATAATCTATGTATAACAGTAGTTTGAGCTAGAGGAACAAGAATATAAACACTTCAAAATGAAAAGTTTAGTTATGCAGAATACTTACCATATCTGGAAGGCAAACCCAGTATCATTTAAACAATTGAATTTATATACATTAGAAATTACTGTGAAACAGTACGATCTCCTAATGGAAATTCACAATATTTTAAACCTCTTAGGATAGCCCCCCCCCCCCCCTTCATTTCTGTTCAGTTGGTGGAAATGTGAGAAGTTACACTTCTGCAAAATGTTGAGCAACTACCAGAGCAAGACACTGGGACAATGCAGGAGTGATAATCTTCTTGTCCCAAGCACATGCAGATGTGTAACCCCTGGAATGAGATCAGCACGTTGCAAGATCTGAGAGTTAGTCAGTCAGCAGCGTATTTTAAGTCCTCATCTTTAGAACCATCAGAGGGCTTCTCTGGATCACCCTGATGTAGAGAAGCGACTGTTTCCTGTAAAGGAGTTAAGCAGCTCCTCAGCTGCTACTCATCTTCCTTCCAACTACTGACATCAAAGGAGTTACAGCAACCAACAGCAGCTGTGAAGCTGCATTTTTACCAGTCAAGACGTTTTCACTGTCATTCTGAAAGCAGCACAACAAGCATGATTTAAAGCCAAAACGCTAAATTGTGGTTTGGTTGGTGGGAAATTGTAACATTGTTTCACGGACCACTTACCCAGTTTGGGGCACTTTAAGGCTTTTCTTTAAGAGATTGTTATGATTCCTGGGTTCATTTCTTGTTCACTAAAATGGACACATTCTCTTTCCCTGAAATAAGGGAGAATGGAGCAGCTTCCCAGACTCCTTTTCCCTTGCTAGTTTATCTCCTAGACACCTGTTCTTTCTGCTTTCTCCCAAGACCCATCTTAAGTCTATCATTTTGCAAATAGCTGATGCAGGAACCATGTAATTGCAACTGAGCAATCTCTGCAGCTGTATTTCTAACCATTTGAGAGAACCCCACCCTAACCCTTGATTAGATGACTTGTTCCTCACACTTGGTGTTGTAGCTTATCAATGAGTGTAAGTGTGAGCCAGGTGCTTGTGGTACTCAGAGACAAGTTACAGTCTCCTGAGGCCAGTATTGATGGGAGAGAGACATTACTCAAAGTTTTAGGGACTTTGTAAAACCTCCGTTCTAGCAGCCTCTGGGCTGCTAAAGAGGGCACTGGGCTGGTGGCAGGGGTCTTAGCTGACAGGAGAAGGTAGATCATAAAGCTGTAGGATTCGGTTATTAACACACAGATAGTTGCTTATGTGGTGCAGATAAGAACTGTATTGTACTTCGCCTGCCAGGAGGAAAAGTGTCTGCTGTCTTCTAGACTGCGCTAGTGTCTATGTGATCATGATCCACCAGACATAAATGAAATCAGCGGAACATAAATCTAGTGGAGTGTGAGGAATCCATATTTTGAGAAATATTTGAGGGTATTAGTACTGATCAGGTGCAGGACAAGGCAGAGAGCAAAATCAATGCAAAACTCACAAAATGGTGTGATAGAGAACTTGAGTTTTATTAGGGATTCTTAGGAGAACTTGCAGAAAAGGTGGAACCAAAAGTGGACGACAAGTACTCATATTTACAAAGAAAGTATGCATTGATAGATATAAACTCATCCTGAAATAATAAGAGTAAATTCTTCCCAAAACATCTTGCTGCTATGCAATCTGGACAGCACATCTTCCATAGTCCTCTGTGAGTTAGTAGTGCTAGAAGCAAAATATCAGTGTCTTGCTCTTCTGCTTGACATTGGTTCACCATCTAAGGCAATTTCAGAGGAGCTGTTGGGATGGTTTGTTAAGTGAGAAAGTATATTAGTCCACAGTTTGGCAAGCATTTTTTATAGCAGACGTGTGCACTTATCTGACTGTCCTCATCTCTTGCTGCTCATTATTGAATCATACTGCTGCCTCTGTTACACTGATACTGTTCTGTGTCTGAGAAGTGAACCAGATCAGCGAAGTGATCTGGGTTAAAAATAACCCAGCAGAATGACCAAACCTATATCAGATTTGCAGTGCAGATGTTGTGTGGTTAGCCAGCAGTGTTGGTTGTATTAGTAGAGTGGTTTAAGCTTCTGCTGCAGCTTTAGGAGCTTTCTCAGGCAACAGCCTTTGATTTCTAGAAGTGGCAAGAGTCTGCATATTTAAAGCCTACACATCTACTTTAAAATGGAAGCAGAAATCCATTTCCAAAGCATTGATCTCCTGCTGGAGTTCAGGGATCTTGGTCTAAGTACTCTTCTGCCTGTGTCCTGAAGAGTCTATCTTAAAAAGAGCTATATAAGAGTAAACCAGATTTGCTAGTGCCTTGGATATCAACATACAAAATGCTATGAACAAGGTGACCATACAATTTTATATAGGTTGATATATGGTCCTTCAAGTTTAAATAAATCCAGTTATGAGGTACTAACTACTGCTGAGATTTTAATGTATTAGTTTCTGCATTTGGAAGGTGTATGAAAGGAAGTTGCTTGGAAAAAAAAAAGCCAACTAGCCTTCCCTACAGCTGTTCAATTTGAGAAAAGCAGTGGTTTGGGTCTTTAATCACTCTGCAACGTTGCTTACCTCTAATACATCCCACTGCTGGTGAGAAGAAAGGAAAGAAAATCACTGTAGGAAGAACATAATCATTCTTAATGTCTCTCATTAGCTTTCTTCTGCTTAATCTGTACTATTCCCTTTTTGATTCTCTAGCTTGTAAAGCATTTGCGTTAAATTAAGTCTTGTGTATGGGCAGATATTGGGTAACTGATTGTGAGTTCTTTCACTCTGTTGCAAATACAAGGAAAAGCAAATTTTCCTAAAAATATCTGTCATTGATCTCCTTTGTGTCATGTAAGCCTACCATTGCTTATAGAAGAGTGTCTCTAGATCTACTCTCAATTAGAAATAAAAATGATCGGTGGTTGATTTCATGTTCCTAATTACAAAGAGTTGAAAATTTAACTTTGAAATTGTTTAAGTACTGCAATATTTATATTTCAAATTGAAATCTTCTGAGCTCTCACCCCCTTCCTCCCTCAGCAATGGCAGTTGGCCAAAAAGTCTATTATTCATATGCTGTCATCTGAGAAATTATAGAAGGCAAATATACTGTTACACTCACCCCTAAGATTCTCTTCAAGATACTTCATCTTCCCTCTGCTGTAAGATATATGTGAGCTTGCACAAAGAGAATATATTGTCCACTGACAAGTATAATTAAGCACAGATGTCTGAGGCATCAAAAAGTAATCTTAGCAAGGGTCTTGATTCTTATAATTTTGCTAATGTTCTCTAATTTAGAGATCTGAATTTCATTTAGAATCAGTTAAAGAGGAAGAAACTTTTTATTGAATTGACAAATGTCTTCACACTCACATGATGTCTTTTTAGGAAATACTTTAAGGAAGTTTTTTCTTCCCTCAAACACTTGTGTTGGTGACGTGAAGACAGGCTTTCCAAAAGAGCTTTCCAATACTTAACCTTATAATGGTGTCATACAGACAGTGGCTATGGCAACCTGACTATGAGAAGCAAACAACAATAGATCATTATAGTTAACAACAGCTTGACTAATGACTGCATTCTGATTTACAGATAGGTAATACTGGAAAATAATCATTGTATGTGTATGTGTGATTAATGCATTGCATATCCTTTTCCTTTCTTAGAATTTTGTGTAAGATTTTTGAGTTGCAAGATCAGATTCAACCATAAATAATTAGTTTGGAGTGGGGCTGAGTAGCAAACTCTTTTCACATCCCCAAGGAATTGCTGAGCTTTTGAAACTTTCCCATCTCAAATTTCCATGTGCCACCTCTGTGTCTTCCATTGCAAAAGTCTGGGTCAACACAGTTGTGGTATTTTCATTATTTTCACATTTTCAAATGAATATTTT